ACTCTTCCTCCGCCGCTGCCTGGGGGATTTCTTATGCCAGTTCTCTCAGGTTCCTTGCTGCTCTGCCCCATCTCATCATCCCCCCTATATCCTTTAATCCCTTCCATATTCTTTAATTAGGTGATTTAATCCACTTTCGTTTCATTTTAGTGGAAACCAGCTAGGCACCGGTGTTCGGGCACACCTTGGGGAACGAACCTACTGGAGTCCCTGCTTGAGTCCTCCACTGGAATCCCATAATTAACTGGGCTTGTTCATATTAGCTTCTGAGCTGGTAATGATGCTTTTAAGCACCCTAAAATGCTGCTCTCCTCCTGGACTTGGTGTCGTCTGCTCCCTTAATCTTAAAGTTCATTAAGAGTGGGAGCATTAAAATGGGAAGTAGTGCCGTGCACCCATCCAGGTGTAGTGCCACGGCTTTTCTAGCTCCTTCCCTTTCTTCTCTGGAGCTCTTCTGTGCAAATTGGCCTGTGTTAGGTAGCGTTTATTTTGGGGGAGAAGGAAGGAAACCCGGCATATAACACGATAGTCTGATAGCGTAATTAAAGCATTTGAAACAAAACCATGGAGGGAAAAATTGCCCTGGCAAGTCAGGCGGTGCAATTAACCATTCAGCCGTCTTCTCTGGAGGCTCAAAATAAAAATCCAATCCTCTCTCCTGTGCTGGAAGAAAATGCAGGGCTCTACTTAAGTTTCCTGTAGGCATTGGGATCTTTTTATGGTGAGGCCATAGGATCCAGGTAAGAGCTCCTCCACGTGCTCGTAGGGCATATCTGTGCACCTCATGGCACAAAATGAGCCCTGCTCCTGCAGGTAAATCCTCATTTTCAGCCAAAATGCAGAACTAAGTGGCTGATGCCACCAGCTTTCTTCAAGGCAGATGCTTTTTTTATCCTGCTGTGGAAGGATGCTGAAAGCAACTGAGATCGTGGTGTCTCGTAGAGTTCCAGCAATGCAATTTATTACTTCGGAGATCTGCTTTTCAGGCTCTTCAGCAAAGTAGGTGGCTGCAAGTTCCTGCGCTGAGTAGGAGTTTGCACAGTTGGCTGGCTTGTCTGATTTTTTTACAAGGAAATAAAAAAAAAAAAAATAAAGCTGTCAAGATGATCGTAGAATGAATCTCTTCATTACGAAGCCTGTAAGCAACTTGTGCTTTAAGAAATGATGTCTCGAGAGAGAAACTCAACAGCAAGAGTTGTTTGTGCTTTTCTGAGGCAGGTTGGAGGGGACCAGCTTGCCTTCATCCCCTTCACCCAGTACCAGGGACCCAGCTCTGCCTCATCCCCAGGCTGCCCCGGAGGGAATCTCACCGTGTGCATGAGCCAAGTAAGCAACGTGTGGGTGTGCTCAGTGCTTACTCAGCTTCAGGTAGCCTAAATAATGTTTCTAATGCTCAAACTAGTCTATAAGGTCAGGAAGATGCCAAAAGACTTGATCTTTTCTTCTTCATCCCATATTCCAAGCAGTTGCACTCTTTTATGGCCGTGAGGAGTCTGACCCCACAACTAGTGGGGTAAGGTGGTGTAGAGGTGTTACCCTTAGCGCTAGCTCACTTAAATCCATATTTCTAATCCAACTAAAGCTTTTGAGTGATTTTGAGTAAAAATGGAACAGCCAGGTAAGCATCCCTAATGATTCAACACCTTTGGAGGAGTTGGAGTTGTGGTTTTAAGCGCTTTTATTTGGTACAGCCCCAAATCCCGTGACGGCACCGTTTAAAATTGAATGAATTGGAACGGCAACAGTCATGTGTACATCCACTTTTATAGAAAACTGGATGTTTATATAAAAATTGAGCAACTCTTCCATGTACTACATGCTCTCGCGCTGTAAATTCCTTGCAGGGATATTTGATTTTTTCCATCCAAACACCAAAATGCAGGCACGAGGCTCGGTTTCCAAAACTCTTCAGAGCTGAGATGAAATATTCAGCACCACTGCAGGCACATCATAAGTCATAATAAAAACATTAAGTCATAATCCAAACATTAAATATATCAAGATCTCCTGTTTTAGCATTGTATTAGTGTATTTGGTGGGACCAGAACTTGATAGTTTTATGCTGTATTGTCTGCATTACCTAAGCATGTAAATATACACTCATTAGCCTGGCCATTAAGCTAATTTCCTGCAGATTTAAGAAAAATACGCTGCAAAAATGTGTACTGAGCATACATAAATCCTCTTCAGTGTAATGGACTTATTTCAGCTGCTGACTCTGAATTTGGGCTGGGGGGTATTGCTGCGTTCGCCCATCTCAAATGGTCCGTGCTCGAAAGTCTTATTTCTTAATGTTTATTTGGAAAAAAAAAAAGAAGAAAGCTCCGGGGGTGGCCTGGTCAACTGCTTTCGCAGCTGTGACATCTCTTCCCTCTCCGTAATGGAAGCAAACGATGCAGAACACGAAGGAGGGAGGGGGAAAAAAAAAAAAAACACCACCCTGGAAGATTACACTTCACAGAGGCGGAACGGCAAGGGGAGGAGGGAGGATTCAAAGGCAGGCGGTGATTAAGAAGCGCATCAAACCCCATCTTTTAAATGGTAATTTCCTCCGTGGCCTGGAGAAGGGATAACCTCGCCGTCGCTGTGATGTTACCTGGCAGGGTGAGAAGCCCATTAGTTTCATACCCGTATCACAAAGCAGGTCATGGCGTAGGGTAATATCTTGATAGCTGAAGCAGCGAGGGGCCGAGGATGGGGGCTTTATCTTCAAGTTTTCTCCTTTTTTTTTTTTGGCTCAAGGACACGCGAGCTATTGCCGAGGGCTCTCTCCTTGACCCTCAGAGCTTCAGATCTCGGAGTAACGCTGCAGGCTGGCTTGACGTGGATGTGCCTGGAGCTGCTGACACAGCCGCTTTGTGCAGGAGGCGTTTCATCTTTTCAGGCTTTCCCTTGAAGTCTGTAGTTAAGCTGTAGATGTCATCAATCTGTATTCATCATCCTGTGAACGCAGAGGAAGAAGGAAGCACTGATGTGCCCAAGTCCCGTTGGTTTCAGCAGTCTCAGGCTTGCAGCGCTCTTAATTTCCCACAAATGTGTTTTCTTCGAACAGGTCAGTGCTGTGAGCATGCACGTAGAAGGTGAATGCATCTACTACACCAGATAAAGCAGTTTTAAGAGCACTGCCCTCCGTTGTGCTGACTTTTCAAGTCTTTCAGAGACAAAAGAGCCTGGGCAACATCCCAGGGAAGGTGAGATGTCCCAGGTAAAGGCAGAGACTCGCTCCCACCAAGAGCAAAACTTGGAAACAGAGAAAATGAGAATGCTTCACAGCAAATTTTATATCAGCTCTTCATCTCCTATTTCTCCAGCCTGGCTGCTTGCTTGCTTCTTGCCTTCTGTTTGAGTCGAGCTATTGCGATGAGGATTAAATTGTAGGTTTAGCATCTCAGTTTGAAAACGAGTCCCCTGCTCTGCTTAGGAAAGAGGTTGGGAGCTTACAGGAGCTGCTCTTTCAGCACGAACTGAAACCCTGGAGCTTCTAGGGCAGGGAAGTCTTGCAGAGGAGAAAAGGGACCCAGGGTCCACTGCACCTGGGCTTTCTCCGGGCTAATACTTCAAAAATATTTCAAATACGCGAATAGATAGTGAGGGAATCATCTCCTGCTATTCCACCTTTCTATTTCAGCACCTCAAGACTGCAAAAAATGTGGCCGTTATATCCTCATCCTGCCTAGATTTCCAAGTAATTGGTTCTGAAAATATATGGTCATTTTCTCCCATTTTTTTTTTTAACATGTCACAGTTGCTTCTCTCTCTAGGAATAACATTTCCAGGAATATTTGAATTTTTCCTCGCACTCAGAAAGCTTTCCAGGTTATTCAAGCTGTTACTTCCCTGGTAGTAAAGCAATTTGGGCTAAATATGCCTTTTGCAAAGGATGTGAATAGCTGAAATTGCAACTGAACTGCAAGGGTAATTGCATGAAAAGAAAGTTAATCTTTGTTTAACTTCTGTGTTTGCTGCTCTGGAAGCTGTCGTAACCCCGTTTCTTCCGCAGAAGTGGATTATTTACTTGTGATAATAGCCACATAAAATCATTAGCACGCTGTCATAAACAGCTGTGTTAAACTGTATTATGTGTTGGTGACATCAATAAAACGCCCAACAAGGAGCTGGGATTTACAAACGGGGCTTGGTTGTCTTTGGGAGAATGGGAAGGAAAAAAATCCTTTGTAAAAATCACACTTTTGCGCTTTGCAAATATATCTCTCAGATTTTTTTAATGGCAAAAGTGCCCTGTGCTAGTGTGCAAGTAGCACAGGTCTAAATTTTTTGGGGTCTAACTCTGTGCTTCCTCCAGAAATCGGGATCAGAGAACGGAGATGAAAGATAAATCATATTCTGATTTGATATCTTGCTGTTAAGAGACAACGTGCTCTAAGTTTAGGTTGTATGGTGCTATTGATAAAGTGTCTGAAATGCTCTACAAGCTGAGAGCAACTTGCTTTTTTTGCTATATTTTATTATAACCTCTTAGTTTTTCTTGGGCTTACTGGAAAGCGATGGTCGGGCTACTGAGTAGGGTGGAGAGCATTGTTCTAGCAAGGTGGGAGGAGATCCATGAGGTTCAAGGTCTTGGTATTTCTGATGGGTGGTCAGGATGTACCTGTGCGTGCTCTCCCCTCAATTCTTCAAGAAAAAGGCCTTCAAGAAAAAGGGCTACCAAAACCTTTGTGCTTTCTGTACTGAAATGTATCTTGGTACCTGTGGCCAGAGCAAGTTGCGTAGGCAATTAAATTCTCCAAATAAAATTCAACAGGCGTGGTGGATTTATCTTCAACTCGGCTCTGTAGGCACTTGTACAGTTTTTCCCCTTTTGTCTTCGTGTTTATATATAATTATTTTTCATGTAAAAGATCTATTTATCTACCCATGCTGTGTTTGCAGTGATAAAGGTATTTTCGTCCCAAAACAAATTTGTGAAGAAACCATCTTACGTTCTCTATGTACAAGTGAGTAACCCGTATTTACTCCACCTTCTGTTTTTGCTCTTTTAGGTTCCCAGATTAAGCCTTTTACGTCGTTGAGGTTTGTAACGGAGCCGTCAGATGCTGTCACCATGCGTGGAAGCAACGTGCTGTTGAACTGCGGGGCAGAATCTGACCGAGGAGCTCCGGTCATCAAGTGGAAGAAAGACGCCGTCTTCTTGAACCTGGCGGTAGACGAAAGGAGGCAGCAGCTGGCCAACGGCTCGCTCTTGATACAAAACATAGTCCACTCCAGGCACCACAAGCCAGACGAGGGGCTTTATCAGTGCGAAGCATCTCTGGAAGGCATCGGAGCCATCATCAGTCGGACAGCGAAGGTCATGGTAGCAGGTAAGGAAGAAACTTCCAATTTCCTACATTCCGGATTGCAGGAAACGCTGAGGATTTGGTATTTAAAGAGTAAAAAATGCAGAGAAAAACCAATTGAAGTGCGTTTTCCACCTCATCAAAAGAGGTAAAGGTAGACATGACGCTCCTGCAACAGTAATTTATTTCTGACAAGGTGTTATTCTTGTTTAAATATTCTAATGAACTCTTTGTTGCTGTGTATTCGTCTTCAAAACGGAGGAGACCTCTGCAGTTGGGAATTTTTCTGATGAATTGAGGGTCACAACAAATGCTGAACTCCTGTAGGGTGTTGCATGTGTGAATTTTTAAGGTTTAGGTGTACAGGTGACAATCAGCAACCCTGGAAAAAAAAAAGATGGAAATTACTTGCTGCTGAGAAGGGATTGATATATTTGTGGCATGTGATGTGCAGGCGAGCGATGAGCTTGTTCGAGTGCGTTGTTTGGAGGAGGTGCTTGTGCTTACACTAAAGAAAAGTTAAGGCTGAAGTTTAATCCAGTTCAGTCCAGGAGCTCTGCAGAAGTTTCCTATCCAGTAGTTTCCTCAACATTTATGCTGGGGAGGGAGTCCAGACAGCTCTCCTCTTGGCCGGTCTCTCCAGTGTGTCCCTCATAATTCGGTGTCTTTTCCAGTCTCGAGGTCTCTTAGTCTGAAAAGCAGTTTCTGTTCCTCTTAAGTCTCTTACCATCTAGGAAAGATGTGTTTTCTCATGATGTCTGATTAAAATGGGCAATGAGAGTCTTAACTCTCTTCTACCTCCTTCCCACCAGTTTTCTGAGTCCTCCACAATAGCCCAGAAGTGTGCTCTGAACCTGCCATCCTCAGCTGTGTATGTACACCCATGCTGGAGTATTACTTCCCCAAAGAGCTGGAGAGCCCCAAATACGTGAAGAAATGGATTATTCCACTCTCCATCCCTCCTTGGATGGAGTCTGCAGAGCTGGCTTTTGAGAAGTAGGGCTCTCCTTGCCAGCCGAGGGTGCCATCTGGCCTTGATCTGGCTGTTGGCAACCACTGCCAAAATCCCTCCAATTACTCTTTTGAAGTGAACACACATACAGGGCTGTGCCCAGCTCACTAATTTGGAGCTCTTTATAGGAGAGTGTTGCTTTGTTTGGCAGATCCTGATCTAATCTTGCTGCGGTGATGGGTGGTTTGGAAGACGGACAGGTGGGCTTCCTCCATTCAGGACCAGTTGGGCTCAAACTGGGAGAGCTTCTTATGGGAAAGACTGCAAAGAGACTGCACAAACTAAAATATGGGAAGCTTCCTTAAACACGTACTCTTTTCCCCTCTAGGGGTAATTCAGCAGTGGAATGGGTTGAGTGGCCAAGTTGTGGAGTCTCCATCTGGGGAGATGTTCAAGACCCAGTTGGACGCAACCCAGCAGAGCCTGATTTCTGCAGAGGGTCAGAGTAGGCAAGCTTGTCACCTTCCAATCTCCCTGATTCTGATTTTGTGAATAAAAAAAAAAAAAAAAATCATATAAGGTAGAGTAATTCATGGCATTTAAAATTGGCAGCAAGTTCTTCAAGCAGAAGTGAAAAGGTATTTTGATCTCCGAAGGACGTGCATTCCCGAGTGAGCAGAATGTGTGCTTTTTTTTCTTGCTTTTTTTTTTTTTTTTGAGGGAGTCAATGTGCAACGTTGGCAGAGCATCGTTGACTTAAGGCACTGGCAGATGGAAACATGACAGGAAGGGAACGAGGGCAAGAGGAGGAGCGGAGGTCTCGCACTACAGTAGGCTGTGTTAATCATCGCTTGGCACAGTAAATAAGCTTCATCTTTTCAGAAAAGGCTGCTTTCCCAGAGAGGATTGGGACTAGGTCAAGCTTTGGGTGTTATAACACTTGTAAACTGAATCCTGTGATGATGTGTTGCTGCTAAACAGACTTTCTGGACAGCTTGATGGTCTCATCCGAAAGCCACGATGTGTTTGATTGCGCCGTCTTGATGAATGGGAGGTTGTGTTCGTGGCAACAGGGCACCTCCTCATTTCGCTGTCTCCTTTGTCTATGCAACGTTTCATTCTTGCAAGGCTTCAAAGGAGAGATCACGAGCTTTAATATTTCAGGTAGGCTTTAGGAAGAGATTCACTCGTTGAATTACAATCTAATCTTGGTGTCACTTCTCAACCACGGGTCTGTCCGTGGCGTTTTAAGCACTTCGCGTGCTGGTTGGCAACAGAACACATCAGCATTTGTCTTTTGAGGTTAAAATCCTCAAACCATTGGTATGCATAAGGGGCATATATCTTTTTGCACCAAGCATGATTTCACTGTTTTTTAAAGCATTACCAGTCAATAAAGCAGTCATGGCTAACAAGTGACTGTCAACTTTACTTGGAGCAGGATGCTTGGGGGTACTGGAAGTATATTGCCCTTTAAAAACCTTTCCCCTTGTACTTTCATGGCTTGAAGTGCTTTCAGCAAAGAAAACGTAGCAAATTAAAAGCAGTTTTCATAAGACAAGGATTTTATGCATGAAGCTCGCCATGTATTGGGGGAAAATGCACTGTTTCAAAGAACTTCTCGAAGGTCTTTATGGCCTCGGCGTGCTCCAGCTGTGCGAGAGCTCTTAGCTGAGACAGAGATGAGAGCAATGGAGAGAAACTAAGAGCTGCTTCCTACTCAGCATCTTATTAAAAGTCCCAATTTAACAGACTGCTGATCATTGGTATTTACCCTAATTGGTAGGATTTCAGATAGAAACAACGCTGCCCACGTGTTATGCCTCTATTTATAGAGTTGCGGGACGAGGCTCTCATAGGTTTTGGTGTTCATCGTCTTCTAAAAGACCAGAGGTAAAATAAATGAGAAACCCGAGGTTACTTTTATATGGTGTGATCTGTATGTCAGTAAATTCTTGAGTCACAAGTGTAGCATTTGCACATTTAAATGCCATTTAATGAGTTTATTCTTCAAGTGACTTGTTCTCCTTCACCCACGTAGACTTTCAGTGTTTTATTCCTTCGGTGGGTGTGTTGCCATTGATCGGGTCCTGGCAGAAATCAGAGGTTTACCTGGGGGAGGAAGGAAACCCACCTAGTTAGAGTTCATTTAATAAGATAACAAAGGCTCTCTTCTGCCGTTTAAAGATGATAAATGGCAAACGTGGAGCCTCCCCGGAGGAGCATATGGAGAAGTTCTTAATCTCACTCGAATCTAAGTGGAGTAAACATGAAATACAATATTAGGTACTGTTGCCTACCCGTGTTTTGGGAATTTAATAAACTGAGGATGAAAAATCATTTAGTGATGCGAGAGGTATCACTTCGAGGATGGGATAAACACATGAAACCCGTTAATGCTGAAATTTAGGAAACTCTTCATTGTGCAGGGTAAATAAAATGTCTGAAGTGTTGCATACTTGTCATTCCCTGAAACTGAGAGTCACTTTTTCTATAGTAGGGGAAAATGAGTTTCAGAAATCCCCAGTTGGGGAGGTATAACTTCATTTATAAACTGAAATCAGCCAATACTGACTTAATCAGTTTATTCCTACCAGAATCACGGGAGATTTGGGGCTATTTTATATAAATTCATCAGCCGTAATAAGTGGTGAACAAAACTAAAGCTGTTTCCCTTGAAAACCAATTTTAGAGCTCCGAAAACTTAATTTAAGTTGAAAAAAAAAAAAAAAGCTGAGTCAGACAATACAGTTGGAAAAAATGAATTAAAAATGTAACCTCTTGCCAGTGTAATTGGTAAAATGGACATTGATGAACTTCTGGTCAACGGGATTTTGTCTTTTATACTTTATTTCAACGCACGCTTAACATATACAATGTGTAATAGTGCAGAGAGTATCGGACCTCTATTGAAATTGATGCTTGGTGTTTAACACCACCTGATTTTGGTATCTATCCGTGCCACATGGCAGACCAACAAACGCCTTTGGGACTGCTCTGTGCGTTTGCTTAATGGTGGTGTGGGTTTTTTTGACTAATAGAGTGGACAATTAGAGTGCTCGCTCCCTCCTATTCCTGTTTAATGTTCCATATTTGTAAAATCTACATCCACCACTTGGTACAAATATATGCTCTGTCATTCCGTTGAAGCTCATTAGTGCTTTCTTAATAAAGCTAAGAGGAAATAGGTAAATATTTGACTCTTCACATGCTGCTCTAAGTCCTGATTTTTTTTTTTCCCCTGCAGAAGATGCACCTACTTTAAAAAGTGGGAGCAGGGAGATAACCAACACAGATCAAAACAACAGCCAGCATACCTAGAGGCTTAGTAATCCAAACCTCTTGGGTGAAGAATAAGATAGAAGGTGGGCCTAAATGGCTAAAAATGAAGAAATCAAGTTGGTGTTATAATTTAACTGCGGTATCATCTAGGCATGGTGTGCAACCAGTTATTTTGCTCAGCCTTCACTTTGAACAGAAGTGCTGCTTAAGTATTCAAAGATAAAGATATTCCAAACACCTGAATGCGTTTTATTTTGCTATAAATTATTTGGAGAGGCTTTATGGCTCCTGATTTACTGCGAATCCAGTGGCTTTAGGTGTCATTTGGAGATGAGGGCAGAGAACCACATCCAACAGCCCCCGTGATGTTTGGTTAATACCCAGATCTGGTTGTTGCTAGCTTTTCTTATTCCAACTCTGTATTATTTTTCTCCCTGCTTAAGAAAATAACCTTTCTGATGCTACACCTTTTCATTACACAGACTTGATTCCCTGCTCCCTCCATGTGCGTTGGGAATGGCCCTACTGATTGTGCTTCACTGGGGTTAAAGCAATGGAGTAGTAGGTCATGTCTGAAGATGTATGGCTTTGCTAATACTCTGTCTTATGTCTAAGTGCCTGAACACCAACACAATAATGAGCAGAACCTCTTTGAGCTTAGAAAATTAATTTTTTTTGTTGACTTGGAAATTACTTTCAGGAGCAGCAACTTCCCCAGGACCGCTTCAGTCATGCGCCTCCTGACCTGGATCCATGCACACTGTTCTTAGGTACAGCTTCTGCCAGGAGG